TGAATGGCAAATTTTTTTTTTATTCTACAACTCTCGTTTTTGGTTCTTTCTTTCGCGATCTATTCATCTGTGCGTGATAATTATTTTTCTTAAGCTTTATAACGCTCGAATAGCATATTTGCTAATTAATTAGTTGGAGTAAAACTTAGTTAAATAGAAAACAGTTGCTTAAAAAAATTTAGAACTAAAATGAACAAATTTAAGCATTCAATAATTCAGAAAAAAATTCAGAAAAATTCAGAAAAAAACATCCAGAATGTCGGATTGCTGAAACTAATTGAATGAAAAACAAAAGAGCTAACATGAGCGAAAAAGAAAAAGAGGAAGTACGTCAAAAAGATTGCGAAAGAATGAAGCCAAAAGCGAGAGGTGAATCAATCTACATCTGATATTGAACAACACTTTTTTTCTCCGTAGAGTTTTGGAAAGGCACTTTAAAATATTAATTCAGCATTACCTGCCGATTCAAACAAAAGAAAATACCTTTTAAAAGAAATTTGTAAACGTGAAAACATACTACTTTCTAATACTTCCGAATCAGGTCTTGACTACGCCGGTTTGGACGATGTTAATTTCAAAGTTCTTAACTTTTATTTGCGAGAAGATATTAGTAGAATGGCTCCAGGACATAAAGATGTTGCTATTGATAAGAAAACAAAGGAGGAGGTTTGACACATCGTTTATATGTAGGAATATTTATTTATATGATTTTATTTAATAAGGTTTTCAGTTTTTGTAAACAATTTTTGTTTTTTTTTTAGAAACAAATTCTTCACATGCTGATGACCATAGGAGAAGCATATTTACTTTTTAAAAGTGAGCATATTAATTTAAAAAGTGGGCAAATCTAAGTTTTACGATCTGCGGCCATTCTATGTCAAGCTAGTAAACGATCTTCCTCACGATATTTGCCTTTGCATACACCATGATAATTTCAGATTGTTAACGAATGCCCTTCAAAAAAAATTTAATATTATGTCAGACATAGTTGACAGATCTGTGTGTAATCAAAACAACCAATCTTGCATGTTTATGGAATGTAAAGCAAACTGTGGGTTGCCAAAGTTTGATGAATATGTATTTAATGTAATAGACTCATTTGGTGACGATTCCAACAAACCGCTCTTTGTTTTTGACCAATGGTCCTCAGAAAACGCGCAGAAAATTGAACAACCACTAACATTTTTGTTAGAGGGGTGTGTATTACTGCGTCAGCAATTGCCAGATTATATACGTCATGTCTATATAAAGCGACAACAAAGTGCATATTTTCGTTTATGTCGCCAAAATGTATCAGAAAATGAATTGATTATACAAGTAACTAAAATTGTAACTTTATTTGTAGTACGATAACAAAACTTAATAATCTTGTTCATTATCCAAGAATTATTAAATCGTTATCTTAATATTTGTAAGTTACACTTTTTCGATGATAAGCCTTTATCACAATTCAAAAAATCTTATGTCATGACAGCCATGAATAATTTGTACAAATTATCATCTGATCTTCTTGAGATTCGTTGGTCATTTTTTGCAACATCACACGGAAAGGGGGCAGTTGATGGGATAGGTGGAGAAATGAAAAGAATGGTTTGGACAATAGTAAAATCTGGAAAACGAAATTGTCGCAGTTTAGAAGATTTTATGAACACTGCAAGTGAAAAAAATACCAAAATTAATGTAAGTCATTATTTATAGAAAAAACTTCAAAATGAAAGTTAAAGATAAGAAACTTTTGGTTATTAAATTTTTATTTTTTTAGATCATCTCTATTACAAATTAGTGTGTTACCGCAAAACAAAGTGAGATCGATGAGACGCTTCTCAAAGATAAGTTTAAAGTCAAAGGTATTCGTCGCCACCACTCTTTTCTTTTTAATATTGATGGCGCTTACACGGCAATTTGTAACCGATCAGAAATGGTGAATATTGTTAATAATTCATCATCTTTATTATTGATAAACGCGGTATCCTCCCCGTCTGAAAAGTACAAATTTGATACTATTTCTCCAGGTATATTTGTCTTTGTAGAATTGCGTTCTGCTGGTAGAGCAAAGACATACCTTGCCGAAGAATCAGAAAATTTAGATAACATGGCACATATTAAATTCCTAAAAGAACAAAACAAACTCATTTTTATATACCCATCTGTAGACGACCTCTCCTGGCGTGACTTGTGTGAGTAAAAACTACAACCACACTTTGATAACCATGTGTGTGAGTTAAAACCACAACGACACTTTGATAACCGTGGACATATTATTGTGGAGCCGAAGTGTTGCCACTAAACATATTGTTAAAAATTTGATATTGTATCTTTCTTATCTTTAATATATTATTAACTATATAATACATTATTTATCTTTAATATAATACACTTAAGTATTTATTTTTAATCCAACGTGTATTAAATTAATTAGAATTGATATATATGCTATTTGTGATAGTCGCAATCAATTTATCTCCAAAAAAAACAATCCAAAAATGACGAATGTTTGCAA